GTTGAATAAATGCATAAACTTAATATAGGAAAAAAATATATTTTTCGTTTACTGAGAGCTAACAGCTTTGGTGTATTCTAATTTTACAGTGATACAAACAATTTCCATTCATCGTTTAAAAATATAAGTTTTGGGAGGGCGGTTAAATTTGCATGTGTGGGCGGATTCCGCCCATGCCGTCCAGAAGCGTGAGAATTTTTCATGTTAGGGTTATAGCTGATTGCTCATTCTCGAGTCGCTTTCTTCCGCTATTTTTTAGCTTCCATTCATAAATTCCATCTTTCTTTGGCTAAGTAGAATTTATTCTTTTAGATTAAAAAAAAAACAACTTCCTTAATTTTTTTTTTTATCAAGGTAAGACTTTTTATTTTTGAAATTCTATTTATAATGGAAGACGAAATTTTGAATAAGAATTTTGACGATGATTCTGAAACTGAAAATTATTCATTGAACGAATCTTCAGATGTCAGTACAGATGAGGAATGTGATTCAATTCTTACCACTGTTCAAACGTCTTCAAGTAATTGTTTCATTGGGAAAAATGGCTATAAGTGGAACAAGAATCATGCAATAATTGGAAGAACCCGTTCTCATAACATAATTACACACTTACCTGGTCTGAAAGGCCCTGCTAAACCGAAGCCAAATTGTGGCATAGATATATTCAACTTATTTTTTTACTGCCGCAATTATAAAACAAATATCTGAATTTACAAATGCAAAAATTGAAGAATTTCGCCAAAGAATTTCAGATTTGACCAAAAGTACTTACTCAAATTTTACAAGTGAAATAGAAATAAGAGCATTCTTAGGTTTGTTGTATCTAGCTGGAGTTTACAAATCAGGTCATGAAAATGTAGAATCTTTGTTTGCCTCAGATGGAACAGGCCGTGACATTTTTCGCTCTGTAATGAGTGTGAAGCGTTTCCTTTTTCTATTACTTTGTATTAGATTTGATAATTTCAAGACAAGATGCAAAGAAGATAGACTCTCACCCATAAGAGATATTTTCCAAGCCATTATTGAAAAATTTCAAAGTTGTTATACACCTGCTGAATGCCTTACTGTTGACGAAATGCTTGTAGGGTTTCGGGGAAAATGTCCATTCAAAATTTATATACCCTCAAAACCTAATAAATATGGGATAAAAATAGTGATACTAGCAGACTCAAGAACACATTATATGTATAATGCAATGGTATATACAGGAAAATCTAAAACTCCAAAGTCAAAAGAACTATCCCTGCCAACCCAAATAGTTTTAGATATTAGTCGACCACTTTGGAAGAGTAATAGAAATATTACAGCAGACAACTGGTTTACTTCAATAGAATTAGTTGATAAGTTGAAAGAACATGGCCTTACATATTTAGGAACGATGAGAAAGAACAAACCTCAGATTCCACCACAATTCCAACCGCATCCTAAAAGAGAATCAGGAACATCTATTTTTGGTTTCTCTGGAACAAAAACTTTAGTCTCCTATGTTCCCAAAAAAAGAAAATCAGTAATCCTTATATCTTCGATGCATCATGACAATAAATGTGACGAAACAACAGGAAAACCTGACATTATAATGGATTATAATCTAACAAAAGGAGGTGTAGATACCATTGACCAAATGGTCTCTAATTTTTCTACCTCTCGTCGATCCAGAAGATGGCCTTTGGCACTTTTTTATGCCCTCTTAGATATCACAGCTCTGAATTCTTACATCATCTTCAACTATCAGATTGATAAAAAGGATCAAAAAGAAAGAAGTACCTTTATTGTTGATCTTGGGAGATCCTTGATTGATGAACACCTGGCCACACGTAATCTAAATTCCCTCCCGCTGGAATTACAGACGACAATAAAAAAATTCAAAAATAATGATGGTTCAAGTACATCAAGAGGATCTACGATGCCACAAGAATCTGATACTCCAAAAAGGTGCTACAAATGTCCATCAAAAAATGTGGGAAAAGTGAAAACCTTATGCTCTGTATGCCAACTAAGCGTCTGTAAAAAACATTTCTTAATTATTTGTGAAAACTGTAAATAGATTATATTTAGAATTTTTAGAAGTCAAAATCTGTATATTAACATTTGTAATCATTAAATAATCTTTCAAATATTGATTTAATTCATTATTTAGCGCTTATTTCGTAAAGGTACATAAGTGGGTTGAAGCTACCCACCCCGTCCAGTTACGTAAGAAAAAATCACCCGTCCAGTTAAGGGTTAAAACAACCTATCTTTACTAGGCTTTATTTAATCTAACTGAAACTAACTCAAGTCTGGTACATTGATACATTCAGCAGTTGGGTAAAGCATTTGAAATCACACTAATACATAAATTGGATATTATTAATAAAAAGAAAGAAGTAATTTAATACAATTATATATATAGGAAATTTCAACAAGTGCAGTATTCTAGGTATGGTAAAGATATGTCATGTATAATTCATTTTAGATTGGATGAAATTTTAAATGGAAGAAACATAATTCTGATTTGTGAAAAGATCATCTACTTTAGACAATGGTGAGAACACCTTTCAATAGAGAACTCAATGATTTAAATACAAATCTACAATATTTACTCAGACTGGTAAATGGAAAGTCGACATTATGAGCAAAATACGTATATATTTACAATAAGAATTTAGAACTAATAAATGTTTTTTAATAACTAAATATATATGAGATTTGAGTTTGGTAATATCAATTTTGAATCTATAAGAATTCCAAATGTCAAAGCCAACTCTTTTCAAATTATAGAATTCTAAAATCTTCAATAATTCAAATATAATATTCTTATAGGTGGGATACATACCTTTTTGATACTTTCATTTCCGGTAGAAGTTAAAATATATTTAAATATTTCTAGTTTACTTTAATTATCATTTATCTTTGAAATGATTTATTAATGGAAAAAAGCGCGCAGAGCGATAATGATGATATATGATATAAACAAAGACAATAATCAACAAAAAGACAAATGCTCAAATGCACACTTGAGTGAACGTAATGAAATAATATTTCATACCCTAGTTATTAAATTTTCAAAATTATATTTATCAAATGCAAAGATGATTCGATTTAGGCATTCTTCTTAAAATTTATCTCAAAATATGTATTCTCCAAATAAATTGTATATTAAATATTTTTTATTTAAAATTATTGATTTTTGAATATTTAACAAATTGCATCAATAGATATGCGACGCATATTAATTTAATATTTTTTACCTACCCAATATTTTTGTAATGCCCCCCCCAAAAAAAAGCAATGTAGATACTTTGAATTGATAACATGCAAGTAGGTCTAATATGAAATATATATACATTTATTTCACTTTATTTATAAATGTTTCAATTCTCTTCACATGAATATATTTAAAATACAAAATAGAAAAATATTTTCATCTCCTATATTGATTGTAAAATGTAATGTTTAAAAAATATATCCTAAACTTTTGAATCTGTGGTAGCCTGGCGGATTATTTGTAAACTTTGGGATCGGCTGCAGTACTTTTGGATTTCTTAGATTCTAAAAATTGTTTGTCTGATAATTAAATAAAATATATTTTTACTTAATTAGCCAACGGAAATAAATAAGTTAAAATTGAAAACTTAAAATGAATTCTCCTCATTTGGCTGGGAAAAAAGTAATATATATTCCATTTAATTAACATTTCATCAGACATTGTATAGCTTTTTCTTTTCACTTAAGTTTTTATAAAGATATCATAAGTTGGACGAAATAAAGCCATAAATCGGTGACACTTAAGTATCTTTATCTTAATAATAAACAACAAAAATATCATTTTTATTTTGGTATTTGGGAAAAATATTATTATATATATATAATAAATATATATAGTTTTTGTTGATAATATTTTCACGTATAAAATTACTGAAGGATATGGAATCCTACTAAAGGTATTTAAGCAAACTGTCATAAGCTTTTAGGACAGAATCACAAAGGAATATGTTTGCATCAAGCAATACTCTTCTGCAAACAATAAGGCCAGTTAGGCATAAATTAAATATAAGGCAATAGCGCCATCTATACACAAGAAATATAACTATTGAGTATGAATGTTTCTTTTACAAATAAAATAAACTTACTACTGTCCATGTGGTTGTACTTGTCCGTAGTTTGCTTAAATTCTTTACTTTCATATACATTCCTTTTGAAAATAGAGCAATCCATACTTAATTCATTAGATAATAAAGGCATATATTGGATTTAATAAATACAGTTGCACGATAAGGAGATGCCTTTTTCTTAATTTATGCACCTTATCCCAGTACAATGTTACATTTGTGCTATTTTTTCACATTGTGTAGCGTCCTCACGCAATTCTGGCCTTAACTACCCGTTTCATGATTTTTCAGGATGCCTTAATGACCAATTTTTTGGTCGTTGAGGTACAGCTTGCACCACGTTGATGAGGGCCAACAGCCCGAAACGCGTCCGTGGTTAGCTTTTCTTGATTAATCAAGAATGGGTATTTGGCCAATTCTGGAATAATTAAAAATAAACGAGAATAGTTGATATTTATTCCGATAGATGGCGCCAACCATCAGCAACTTTCAGTTCCACGATAAGGAGATGCCTTTTTCTTAATTTATGCACCTTATCCCAGTACAATGTTACATTTGTGCTATTTTTTCAAATTATAAATATATAATATGCTTCGAGCAATCGCTCTTCCGCAAATATCAAAACATTCCTATATAAGCAGAATTATCCAAAAGGTATTAAAGCTCTAAAAAGCGGTCTGGTAGATTAAATTGGTGAAACTGCTGGGAGGGCACTCCTTATGAGCCAAGCCCCACCCAATATTTTTTATCGCAGTGAAGATAGTAGAAAGTTGTGTTCTATTAGTAAAAGAACAATTTGTACTTTATAGTTATATTCCTTGTAAAACAAGTTAATAAGACCAAATCCAAATAAATAAATAGTGTGTGACGTTTCGGTAACAGCATTGTTACCATCTTCAGACAAAAGAAGCCAAAATAGCTCAGTTGGGAGAGCGTTAGACTGAAGATCTAAAGGTCCCTGGTTCGATCCCGGGTTTCGGCATCTTTTTTTTAAGCCGAAATAGCTCAGTTGGGAGAGCGTTAGACTGAAGATCTAAAGGTCCCTGGTTCGGCCCCAGGTTTCGGCATCTTTTTCAGTACTTTTGTCTGAAGATGGTAACAACGCTGTTACCGAAACGTCACACACTATTTATTTATTTGGTTTTATCACCTTGTTTTATAATCTATAATCCAAATTGTGCCATATCAATTATATTCCTTGTGTTTATATTGTGTTATATTGCCTTGTATTTAATTTATACTAAGTGTACATTTTGGATAAAAAATTATATAAGGCCAAATAAGTAATTTATGATGTGATGTGACATTGAAGCAACAGCATTGTACTTTTATCTGAAGATGGTACCAAGGCTCTCTTACCACAATGTCATGTATAAATGACATACACCTATCCCCCGATTTACACGGTAGATGCGTTCCTGAGAAAAATGTGTAAATCGGGGGATAGGTGTGCACAGAAATAAAAATAAAATGCATTGACAGGTTAAAATATGTAGTCAGCACATAAGCTCGGGATTCCTCGTGAGATGTGTACACAGCACATGTGTTCAATCACAGTAGCATTTATTATAGTGCGATAAAAACAAAAAAAAAAAAACTTATTTGGAAAACCGTGTAAAAGCCAAAACGTGTAAAACAAGTACCGTGTAAATCTGGGGATAGGTATATTTGGATTTGGTCTTGTTGCCTTGTAATTGCACAACTTGTACTGAGGTTTTAGTACTGATCACTTTATATGTAAATATGTTCCTGCTGATTGGTTCTCTCTTCTTCTTTCTTATCTCCACTCAATCATAATAGGGTATCAAGTTGTGACCCTTGATGGTGTCTGTTTGACAACCATCATGACTGGGTAAAGTAGAATGCATCTGCCTTTGTCATTAAGATTGGGAGAACTACTCAGTGGCAGGCCGACTTAGGAAAAAACTTTGGTTATATCCTGATTGTCAATGCCAGCTAGGGGATGTCTGTACAGTTTATTTCCTCTTTGCCTCACAGACAATGACCACCGATAGTAAGAGGTACCATACTGGTTGGCAGGTCACATGTATATTATCATTTTTCAGGTGTTGGGAAACAAAAAATGTCTCCATTACAGAATGTCACAGTTTTTATATCAACACAAGGTAATAAGACCATATCCGAATAAATAAATATTGTGTTATGTTTCGGTAACAACGCTGTTACTGAAATGTCACACACTATTTATTTATTTGGATTTGGAATCATGTTTTAAAATTAAAGTGAATATTTAGTCCGAGCTAGAGCCAAGTATCTATACTTAAGCCCAATTTAATGTTTACAATTGTTCAGAACAGAGTGAAATGTTGATCTCGCATTATTCTCTGAGAAGCTACCTCATTGACAGCTGTGTTGCCAGATGAGTTCCAGCCTGAAGGAGAGACTGAAGAGATCTAGACTGAGCACTTCTCCTCTGCAGGCGGAGCGTCCTAAGAAACCTCCCACCCAGCCACCAATCAGGAAGCCGCAAGAAGCTCTGCAGGAGCCTCCGATCCTGGAGGAGGGAGAAGACATGGAAAGACACGTGGCCAAGATGCAGGTCCACCTGAGTCTCTGCCAGGAGAGGCTGAGGAAACTGAAGTTGGTTAGAACCTACCTTGCCAAGGTCTGTGTTCACCCAACTTTTATAGTTTCTTGTTACATCTTCTTCTTTCTTATCTTCACTCAATCATATTAAGGTATCAAGCTTGTAAAGCTTAAGACTTTTGATGGTGTCTGCTGGGGAAGAGTAGAGCTCATCAATGGATGAGTCAATACAGTCAACAATTTGTTTGGGGGTATAGTTCCCTGTTGAAATCCAAAAGTTATGCCTCATTTGACCATCCTTGTGAAATCAAAAAAGAGTTTTTCTCTTCTTCTTCTTTCTTATCTCCATTCAATCATATTAGGGTATTAAGCTTGTAAAGCTTGATGCTTTTGATGGTGTCTGCCGGGGAAGAGTAGAGCTCATCAATGGATGAGTCAATACAGTCAATAATGTGTTTTTCAGAGTTCTTCTGACTTAACCAAACCTGTAATTAGAGACCGTCTCCAGGAGATAGGGGAGGAGGAGGTTACAGTAGGTGTGGTGTAACATATTTATCATCATCAAACTTGAGTACTTAACAGTTCCTCAGATATGGGATATCTCAAATCTAAATAGCCAATATTGATACAAGAAAATAAGACCTAATCCAAATAATTTATTAGTGTGGACGTTTCGGCAACAGCATTGTCATTCCTATTTTCTTGTATTATATTCTATAATCCAAATTGTTATTTATCATACCCATCATTGAGTAAATTTCTTCCTCCCATGCTCACTCTCGGTTGTAATTTCGTCCGTTGAAGAGCGAAAGCTTAAAAGCTTGCGGTGTTTTGTAATAAAGACATTTATTGCAAAAGGTTTTTTTGATCTTTTTATAAAAGTGTATCACATAATTTTATCATATTAGCAATAAATCTATTTATTTGGATTTGGTCTTATTACTTTGTGTTTATAATCTATAATCCAAATTGTGCCTTATCATTTCTCATATTAGGTTATAGACTATATATACTACACTTCAGTAATTTAAAAAATAATTTTGCTCACTCACAAACTTCTAGTAAAATATCTACTATCTAAATAAAACCAAATCCAAATAAATAAATAGTTTGTGATGTTTTGCTAACAATGCTGTTACCGAAACATCACACACTATTTATTTATTTATTTGGATTTGGTTTTATTGTGTTTATAATCTATAATCCAAATTGTGCCTTATCAGTATTGAATGTACTTTTGTCTGAAGATGGTAACAACGCTGTTACCAAAATGTCACACACTATTTATTTATTTGGATTTGGTTTTATCACCTTGTGTTTATAATCCAAATTGTGCCTTATCATTAGTACAGAGAACAGAGTTAGTGATTACATATGGCAACTACGGCCTGAGAATCAAATGAATACAAGATGATGATATATCTACACTATGTCACATTTGTAAGTTGAACTGATTTTCACATGTGTAGACATGTGGTGCACTTACAGTAAAAGCAGTTGCCTACCTCTACCTACCATGATTTTCATGGCCTGTATCAAGTGTACTAGGGATAAACAAAAAAAAATGATAAACCTTACATAGGAGGATGGCTGCTTGCAGTTTTTCTGACTGTAGCTCTTGTGTTACGCTAGTAAAGAGAGAAAACTCGCCTTGCCACCATTTGACAACTCTGGCGCACTAGGGAGTGATTAATGATGGAGGGGGTTCTGCAGTCTCAGGGCTGATTCATCAGGATATCCCCCAGTTATGCAACTCTGGTTACAACCACCATTTACCCCAATGAAAAGACCAAAACAAACTATATATTGGTTTTCTGGATTTCTATTTGGAAAGTGTGATGCCTGTTTCAGGGGAAATTTTCTTTGAATTTCAATGATAGGTGAAAACTGGATTATAGAAACACAAGGAAATAAAACCAAACCCAAATAAATGCGTGTTTCAGTAACGGTGTTGTTACCATCATCAGACCTAAGTAAATTTATACTGCTTTTGTTTGTTGATGGTAACAACGCTGTTACTGAAAGGTCATGTTATTTATTTATTTGGATTTGGTTTTATTACCTTGTCTTAGAAGCACAGGTATTCAAGTATCTCCAATCACTATGGTCACAGATGTCATGGCCATAGTCTTTCCACCTATCAAGGGCAGAGTTGCTCTACTCATTGAATCATTCAGTTTTAGTCAATTTTTTTTTTTATTTCTGGAAATTTAAGACTCTAGTTGCTGCTTAGTCTTCTTGATAATAGTCACCTCTAGCGATGTAAATTTGATACATCATCATCATATGTCATCATTTTACCTTCCTGGTCATCTACTGTATTATTTTTACTTCCCACCTACCTATTGGTTGTTAATATTGCTTATTGTGCCCTATCTCTGCAGCACGACCCGGCCCAGCTCTCCCAGCTGGTGCTGAAGTGGAGAGAGGCTGCCCAGAACTGCCTTACTGAGCTGCACCAGGAGCTCTCCACCCGCCACCCCCAGCTGTCCATGCTCCAGCTGCTGGAGTCCCTCCATCTGGACCCCGCTGTGGTCGCCTACAGTCCGGAGGAGGAGGACTTCCTCCCACCACAGCCCTTCCCCTTACCCCCATCTTACTGATGAGTTGTTCCCTCACTTTTTCCAGCTCACCACACAGATCCCTGCATTTTTATCCTCTCCATAGAAACACTTAAACTTACCTGTAAAGTCCACTCTCATTACTTGGGACTACTCACTTGTGTGAAATGCAAAAAAATGGAGTTCCAATTCTCTATAGTCCTCATTAACAAATATTAAGCTTTTCACACCAATTCCATAAGTAGCATTTTTTTTTAATATCCATTCATCATTTGGGATAAAATTTGGAACTGATCTTTTGCCTCAATTTTATACTCTCCTTTGACTGACATCTGGGAAGTCCTTACTTTGAGCTATACTTTCTTCTTGTTTCTCTCATCAACTTTCTCTGTCTACCTCTTCCAACACTGGGTTGGATTGGTCCCATGTTGATTCTACTTTACTCTGTGTCCGGTGACTCCATTCTCTGCTGCACCATTTGGATTCTGTCTCCAGTTCAGCCACACCATACAGGACACACTTTGCAAGCAAGCAATGGGATATGATACAATGTGAATTATCAAATATAAGAAAATGGCGATATACTTTCATAAAAATATAGAAAAACCTTTAAGTTAAAGTTTTTTGCACTTTTCTCTGGTTTTTTTTTATGATCCCCCTTGGTATACAAGTCAGTTATGTACAGAGGTTGGAGTCTGGCTCCACTGTAGAATGGTGAGATATTTGTTTGATGGCAATTTACTACAGATTTGGGAATGTTTATATATGTCGCACTTGCCACCTGCTGAGAGTAGCAAAATCCCCACTAATACATTACACATACAGATTTGACCTTGTTACCTTGGTGTTCTCAATTGGGCATTCATTGAAAAAGCCTGTATTTAGTCTGTATAAACTTTGAAAATTTGTGGAGAGGTTTTCTTGCTGAGTATAAAATACACTATTGATGAAAGTATTTG